CATGCAAAAGAATGAAAGTAGACCATTATCTTTTGCCATGCACAAAACTTAACTCAAAATGGATTAACAACTTGAATGTACGACCTGAAACAATAAAACTCCTAGAAGGAAATATAGGTAATACACTCTTTGACATTGGGCTTAGCAGTATGTTTTCAAATACCATGCCTACTTGGGCAAGGGAAACAAAAGAAAAAAAAAAAAAAGAAAAGAATAAAAGAAAAAAAAAATTTTCATCAGACTGAAAAGCATCTGCAAGGCAAAGGAAACCATGAACAAAACGAAATGATAACTCACCAATTGGGAGAAAATATTTGCAAATCATATATCCAATAAGGGGTTAATTTCTTTTTTTTTTAAGATTTTTAATTTTTTTCCTTTTTTTCCCCAAAGCCCCCCAGTCCACAGTTGTATATTCTTCATTGTGGTCCTTCAAGTTGTGGCATGTGGGATGCTGCCCCAGCATGGCCTGACGAGCAGATCCACGTCCACGCCCAGGATTCGAACCAACGAAATACTGGGCTGCCTGCAGTGGAGTGTGCAAACCCAACCACTCGGCCATGGCACCAGCCCCAATTTCTAAAATATATAAAGAACTCATACAACTCAACAACAAAGAAACAACCTGATCAAAAAACCAGAAGAGAATATGAATGGACATTTTTCCAAAGAAGATACACAGCTGGCCAACAGACCCATGAAACAATATTCAACATCACTAATTATTAGGGAAATGTGAACCAAAACTACAATGAGATATCACCTTACACCAGTCAGAATGGCTATAATTACCGGGACAAAAAACAATAAATGTTGGAGAGGATGTGGAGGAAAGGGAACCCTCGTACACTGCCGGTGGGAATGCAAACTGGTGCAGCTAGGATGGAAAACAGTATGGAAATTTCTCAAAATATTAAAAATAGAAATACCATACAATCCAGCTATCTCACTACCAGGTATTTATCCAAAGAACTTGAAATCAATGATCCAAAGAGATTTATGCATGCCTATGGTCATTGCAGCGTTATTCACAATAGCCCAGATGTGGAAGCAACCCAAGTGCCCATCAACTGATGATTGGATAAAGAAGATGTGGTGTATACATACAATGGAATACTACTCAGCCAGAAAAAAAGACAAAATTTAAAGGGTGAAGTGGTGCACCTACAACATGACTAACAATAATGTACAACTGAAATTTCACAAGGTTGTAAACTATCATAATCTTAATAAAAAGAAAAAAAAAGTCAAAATTGTCCCATTTCCAACAACATAGATGGACCTCCAGGGTATGATGTTAAGTGAAATAAGCCAGACAGAGAAAGAAAAATACTTCATGATTTCACTCATATGTGGAAGATAAACAAACACATGGATAAAGAGAACAGATTAGTGGTTACCAGAGGGGAAGGGGGTTAGGGGGTGGGCAAAGGGGGTAAAGGGGCACATATCTATGGTGACGGATGAAAACTAGACTACTGGTGGTGAGCACCATGCAGTCTATACAGAAATTGACATATAATAATGTACATACACTTGAAATTACACCATGTTATAAACCATTATGATCTCAATAAAATTACTGAAAAAAATGTTGGCTAATTTAATCAGGAAAAAAGGGAGAAGATACAAATGCTCAAAATAAGCAATGATTAATGAGAAATACCAGATTCAGCATATATAAAAAAGAATCCTAAGAGGCTACTTTGCGGGGCTGGTCCCGTGGCCGAGTGGTTGGGTTCATGTGCTCTGCTTCGGCGGCCCAGGGTTTTGGATCCTGGGCGTGGACATGGCACCGCTCATCGGGCCATGCTGGGGCGGCATCCCACATGCCACAGCTGAAAGGACCCGCAACAAAAAAATATACAACTATGTACCAGGGGCTTTGGGGAGAAAAAGGAAAAATAAAATGTTTAAAAAAAAAAAGAGGCTATTTTGCTTAGTTCTGTGAATTGAATTCGAAAATTTGGATCAAATAAATAATTTCTAGATAAAGTCAATTATCAAAAGACATGGAAAATTGAGACAAATTGCCTTCAAAGAAATAGGGAATGTTGTCAAAAAGCAAACCCTTAAAAAAGCACCAGTTTCACAGGGTTATTCTACCAAAACTTTAAGAGACTGTTGCAATGCTATGTAAATTGCTCTAGAGGATTCAAAAGGAAGAATAGGGGGCTGGCCCAGTGGCATAATGGTTGAGCTTGCATGCTCCACTTCGGCGGCCCAAGGTTTGCAAGTTTGGATCCCGGGCACGGACCTAGCACCGCTTGTCAAGACATGCTGTGGCAGCGTCCCACATAAACTAGAGGAAGATGGGCACAGATGTCAGCTCAGTGACACTCTTCCTCAAGCAAAAAGAGGAAGACTGGCAGCAGATATCTCAGGGCCAATCTTCCTCACAAAAAATTAAGTTAAATTAAAAAATAAAAATAGAAAATTAATTGTATAATACTTTGGAAGGTAATAAAGGCTAAGGAGAAAAATAAAGTGAGGAGGGGGACTAGGCAGTGCCAGGTTGGTCTTGAAATTTATCACAATGAGCCAGTGAGGAGGGTTTATTCACCCCAACTTCAGCACAAAGAGCTTAAATGATTTGCCCAAGGTCATTGCCAACTTGCAAGCAGCAGAAGCAGAATTAAAAACTGGGAAAAAAGTTACTGGACCTTTGATCTCTCTCTTGGGTCAGACTGCCTCCCAGCCCAGGAGTCTTCTAACTGGCAAATCCACTCATCTTCCTCTGGATTTCATTATCATAATTGGCCTCTTGGTAGCTTTTGACATTACTGAACATCCTTCTCTTTCCAACCTTTCTCTTGACTTCAGTGACACTATGCTGTTCTAGTCGCTGCCCTCCCCAATGAGTTCTGCCTCTTCTGATTTTTCTTGTTCCTCTCACCACTTGAATACGGATCACCAAATACAACCCGTCTTATGGTCGCCATATTGAACTATATCAGGGATCACCTTTCATTCAGACAATAGTCTTTGTGAATGGCCCCCTTTGGAGTTGTGCAGTGTACAGCTTGGGCAGCTGTATATAGCAGCCCTAGACATTTTGCACTTCTCTTAATCTATGCTACTGACTTCAGTTCCCTCTCTGCAGATTCTCCCCAAAACTTCACAAGCAGCTTTTATCCTGCACCATTGGAGAATATGCTGGAGCAACCTGCGTCCATCACCCAACCACCCACCCTTGCAAGAGGCTCTGTACCTCTCAGTGCCCACAGGCATCAGTGGGGCAAAGATAGTGGATATTCTTGGCACCACCAGTGTACAAATCCACGAATAAAGAGTCCCCTTGCTCAAGGTCTCTATGGTTACACACCAGACATTGTCTGGTTAGACACTGTTGTTAGACATCAATTGTATTGATGTCTAAAAAATTTCTGGTTTTATTTAGAATCAACTTGTAAGTTTCCTATAACTCCAAAAGCTATAATTTGGTATTATATTTTTGTGTGCCAAGCTGGGTGGGCATATTATTTCATCCAATCTTCACAACAGCCGTGTGAAGTAGACATTACTCTGCTCATTTGCCTAAGGCTCAAAGCAGATCTGCCCAAGGTCACCCAGTTAATAACCGATAGAGGTGGAATCTGGACCAGGTCCATAGGACTTCAAAGCCCGCGCTCCTTCCGGCTCCGTAAACTGCCTCCAGGTATCACCCAACACTGTGCTGAGTACAGGCCAATATTAATTAAAACTAACATTTGTCTTCAATATAGACTTTTTAAAAAAATCTTACTCTGTGCAGTTTCACTTAATGCTCAATAATAACCCTGAGAAGTAGGGAGTAGTGTTAGATTTAGATACAAAAAGAAAATAGAATATAAAATGAATCATTTGGATACAAAGGAGAACCAGGAGCCCTATACAAGTCTTCTCTTGGTACTTTGCTCTCCATGCCTGCTCTGCCACACCAAGTGTTGTTTGATACAGAACATGTGAGCTGGGGGCTGAAGGGGTAAAGACAAAGCCTTTTTCTTTTTGCCTCTGACAAATAAAAATGGCAAGTAATAGGATATATTGGAGTATATGAGGAAGCCATTTGGTGTAAACCTAATTCGGCCTGACCTTGTCTTCCAAAAGGGCCTGACCGAGGCTGTCGAGCATGCATTGTATATCTGCTTTAGACATTCCCTATGGTGAGAACAAAAGCCCTTGAGATAAAGGTGCAACTTCCCTCCCCCTCCCAACGTTGGCATTTCCTTAAGGATTAAGCATCTTTCCTTAGGCTAGGAACTGATTGCTGCGCTCACCTGTGACCACCCAGCTCAAGACAACAGACTTGCTTCCTGCTGCGCCCTCTGAGATAGCAGACCCACTACCTGCTGTGTCCATCAAGTGTTGTGCCAACAGGGCAATCTTGTGACTACTGAGGGAGGGACATTTCAATCATATGTGAAACAGCCTGTTTGGGGGTATATAACCACTCTGTACACCTCACTTCTTTGGTGCCCTTTCTTCCTTCAAGAAGAAAGGCCCCAGGCCATGGTCCTCAGATTTTAGCTCAGAATAAACTCTCCCAAATTTTCATTTATAGATTGGTTATGGATTATTTTCATCGACACCTCTAATAGCCTGTAGCCTGGTGGGCACTCCAGTAATAATTCTTTCATGCAATAAATATTTATTGAGCATCTAGTATGTGCCAGGCACTGAATATACAGCAATGAACTAAGGCTGTCCTGGTTCCTGAACTCATGGGGCTTACATTCCACTGGAGGAAACAAAAAGTAAATTTCAGACATCTATAAGTGCTACAGGACGATGTGGTAGGAAATAGGGGGAGGTAAATTTAGATAGAGGTCAGAGAAGGCATTTCTGAGAAGGTAACATTAATTGAATGCATGCATGAATCAGACTTATCCAGTTTTTGTTAGTCGTTAGATTGTTTACAGTTCTGACAAACATCCTTTAGATCTTGCTGGTGCCCAAAGGGCAAGTGCAGAGGCAAGGCATAACGAAGAAGCTTTTTCAATTCTTTTTATTCCTCTGACCTTGCCTTTGCTGTCACGGTTACACCCCCCATTGTCACGCCCATCCTTCTTCCGGGAGCTTCCAGGCTGCGCAAGCGCAAGAGAAACCGCCGCGCCTAGCGGAGGGCGTGGAGCCTACGACAAGGCGCATGCGCTCCCGGCCCGTAAGCCCCGCCCCGCCGTCTGCGCCCGCTCGCGAGCGCCTGCCGTTTCTCGGGGCGGGGCGGTGGGCGGGGACGGGGCGGGGAGGAGCGCGCCGGTGCGTGCGTGCGCGCGCGGCGCGGGCGGGTCAGTGAAGCCGGCGGCCCTGGCACGTGATCCGGGACCGGCTCGGTCGCTTGGTGGCTCCTTCTGTCTGTCCGTCCGCGGGTGCCATCATGGCGGACGCGGCCAGTCAGGTGCTCCTGGGCTCCGGTCTCACCATCCTGTCCCAGCCGCTCATGTACGTGAAGGTGCTCATCCAGGTATGAGTCGTCGCCGTTCCCCGCCCCGCCTGGCGCCCCGTTCGGTCGCCGCTGCCCACGGCGCCTGGGGATCGGCTCCAGCCTTCCCGGGCCTTCGGTTTCCCGAGATGCCGCTCCTCTGCTGCCCCGTCCTTCCCCGCAGGGCCCGCTTTCCCCGCCCGCGGCCCGTCCACAGCCCGTGGGCCTCCCCGAGCTGTCGCCTCCCCGCCAGGCGCTGCGGCCCGCTCCTGTCCCCGCAGCCAACTGCCGCCCTGCCCTGTCCTGCGGCTCCTCTCAACTTTGTTTTTTCTTCCCTGAGGTTGATCCTGGCCGGTCTCCACCGGGGGCTTCCCCACCTGCCCCTTCGCCCCGCTGAAATTAGCGTTCACCTCTCCTCCCCCGCCCCAGACGCACGACATGAAATCTGTTGAAGACAAATTTGAAATTAGAGGGGAGCCAACATTTTAATGGCTATTTTTCTTTTTTTTGCTGATACTGCCGCTCTTCTGTTCCGAGATTTTAGCACCAGATACCCAGATAAACACAAGGAGCTCATTCAGCAGTGGTGATGAAGTGGTCGCTGAGTCCAATTTTGGAAGGATCCGCTGAGCGCTCTCCAGCAGCAGCTCATAACAGTGAAAATCACATCTGTCTGAGCCGGGAGTCAGCTCAGCTGAAAGAGTTTTAGCGAGTTTCAGCACATATATTAGTTTCTCATCTACTGTGAAATAATTCTTAAGTGGTATTTTATATTCACAGGCAAGTAGGCCAGGTTTTAGGTAATGATAGACTATTAGTATTTTCAGTTGCCTTTCTAAATTTCCCTGTGATGGGCAGGTCATTCATTTTTTAAACCTTTGTTGAGAGTTGACATAATTACCTCATGCGTTGTGCCAAGGACAGGAGCAGTTTTTAGAAGCCCTGTCCTCACCATCTACCTTAACTGTCAAAAATACGCTAGGGGAGGCTGCCTTTCCTTCTTTTTTTTTTTTTTTTGAGGAAGATTAGCCCTCAGCTAACTATTGCCAATCCTTCTCTTTTTTTTGCTGAGGAAGACTGGCCCTGAGCTAACATCCATGCCCATCTTCCTCTCCTTTATACATGGAATGCCTACCACAGCATGGCTTTTGCCGAGCAGTGCCATGTCTGCACCCGGGATCTGAACTGGCGAACCCCCCTGCCGCCAGAAGTGGAATGTAGGAACTTGACCGCTGTGCCACTGGGCCGGCCCAAGGCCGTATTTCTTATTCTTGACTTAATGCTAATCCACATTATGTGTTGGTGAGTTGACTGGTGTGGATTCAGATTCTATATGTAAAAGGCTATTGCAAAATGTTATTTGAACCAAGAATAAAGACTTTGATTGAAATGGACTATTTCAATGGATGTCTAAAACAGAACTGGCATGTTTGTAGCTAGATAGTGTCTGAGTTGACAGCATTTTGCAGTAAATCATGAACCCATTACTCAGTTCTCCAGGAGCCCCAGTTTTCTAGTGACATTCAGAGCTCATGCCTCAAAAACTTGAATATCCTGAATCCTGATTATACAACATCTATGTGTTGCCAAGTGTCTCAGGGGTTTTGGTGAAATTCCCAAATACTCAGATTTAAAAATAGTTGCACGATAACACTTCCGGGGAGCTCAGTCAGGAGTTACTTCATTGAACGAGTTAAGAATCACATCAATAGAGCGTCAAAACCATGTCCTACAGCGTTCATTCTCTCAAGAGTATCCCTTTAGCATTGAAAATCCTGAATATATTGTAGAAATAAAATGATAATCATTAACTCTAAAATGGCCCTCACTAGGTTGTGAGTGACAGTCTGCCTGTTTGACTTGGACTTCGCTTGTAATTATTTCCCAAGTGAATTATCCAGCTGTATCTGCATTTGCCCTTTGAGTGTTTTGTTTATCTAACCACACATGAAGTTGATGCTGGCTTCGCCATCTCATTTTGTCCAAATATAAAAAAATGCACTAGGTTTTCCTTAGAAAATATTTTTGGACCTCCTCAGTAAACTGCAGCTTTCCTAACACAAAACTTCCTTATTTTATTTTCAGTTCTATATTAGTCTGTCTTAGCTACGTGGCTTACTCTGTAGAATTTGAACCAAAAGGAAACTTGGAGTTTGTTGAAACCAGTCTCATCAATTGACAGAATAAAAAACTGACGAGGGCGGTACTTCATAATTGCCTTGGAAAACATACACTGCATTTTAACTAGTGTTAAAAATTATAACTCTCATTTTGTTCTTTATTCAAGACCTTGCAGCCAAGGCAATCCTGGAAATATCGTTTAGAACTGATGCATCCTCTTGTTTTTAAAGGTGGGATATGAGCCTCTTCCTCCAACAATAGGACGAAATATTTTTGGGCGGCAAGTATGTCAGCTTCCTGGTCTCTTTTGTTACGGTAAGTGTCTTTGATTTATTTGGAAATAGGTGACATTGAGGACTGTTTATAGGCAGGACTTACTGAAAGAAAATATGTAGAAAGCGTGTTCCCTTGAAATTTGTATGTAACCGTTTCTTTCAAGTGGAATTTAAATCTCTGACTTGTGTTCCCAGCCCAGCACATCGCGAGCATCGACGGGAAGCGTGGGTTGTTCACAGGCTTAACACCAAGGCTGTGTTCAGGAGTCCTTGGAACTGTGGTCCATGGGAAAGTTTTACAGGTAAGAAGAGAATCAGGTAATTTTCTCGAAGATTTCGATTACCTCTTACGCGCAGTTAGTTCCACTGATGAAGGGCAATTTCAAAGATATACTTATAACCATGGCCTTTCTTTCTCTTGAAAAACATTAATCTAAATACCCATTCTTAATGCTTCCTTACTTAATGCTTCCTGAGTTTGTAGAAAACGAAGTAATTGGTTTTGATCTGTACAACCTTCTTCCTCTGAACCATTCTGAGCAGAAATTAGACACGCTTACTTGATTTCCTGTAGCTCGTTTTATTTCTTTGAAAGAGGAAGGAAACTGATTAAAACATGCATATTTCTTAAGTTCTTTTCCTCTTATTTCTAGTGTTATTTCTAGTAAAATCTTTTCTGTTACAAACTTATTTTTTTAAAATAACTTAAGGAGATAAATATAAAAGTCAGGACTGTGGGGAGAGGGAGCGAAGGAGGGACCATGCATGGGGTTCTGGGTAATGGATGTGATTTTCCTTCACCTGGATCGTGGCTATTTGCTTCTTAATTGTTTATTACATTGTACATTTGTATTTTGTGCAGTGTTTCTGTATGTGTGTTATATTGCATAAATTTGAAAGTTTTTTTAAAAAAACCTCACCAGAGGGGCTGGCCCGGTGGCCGAGAGGTTAAGTTCGTGCGCTCCGCTGCAGGCGGCCCAGTGTTTCGTTAGTTCGAATCCTGGGCGCAGACATGGCACCGCTCATCAAACCACACTGAGGCAGCATCCCACATGCCACAACTAGAAGGACCCACAACTAAGAATATACAACTATGTACTGGGGGGCTTTGGGGAGAAAAAGGAAAAAAATAAAATCTTTAAAAAAAAAAAAATCCTCACCAGAGTGTACATGACCTGCAGGATAATGGTTAGCTTTGGGGAAGAGGAGAAAAGATGAGGGGTGGAACTTTAGCTATATCTGTGGCATTCTATTTTAAGAAAGCAAGCGATCTTAAGAAAAGGGCAAAATGTTGACATCTCTTTAACCTCATTGGTAGATATATGAGTGAATTATTTTCGTAATTTTTCTCTCTGTCTGAGATGTTTCATAAAATGTTTTTAAAAACATCAAAGTTACAGTTCGTTCTTTCTTACTGGTCCCTTTGTTTGCCAGCTTCTTTTAACTTCATATACTAAAGCTTATAATTTTGATTTTGCTGGTTTCTCTGTTGCGTCAGTTACAACGTAGGTCACACAGAATTGTCTTTTGCTGTATTTATAAAGATGTTATGAATATAAATTCTGTACCATTTAGAACAGTTCACGGGAAGGTTGTTCAGCGTAAGTATGGATGAGAATATGAAACTGACGGGTTTTCTAGTTCATTATTCTGCCTCCTACTGGCAGCAAGGGTATGCCATACTCTCTGCTGTAACTCTCAAAAAATTTAGCGGGTATGCTAACCAAATCTATATAATAATTTCAACCTGTATAATGGATCAGGTGTGCTAAATTCCAAATGTTTGCTAGCTGCTTATTTAAATAGTATTGGGTACAACTCTCCGTGTACTTTTTTAGGCTTCAGCGTTGCCCATGATTCTAATTATCTGATGAGTAAATCATGATTTTTGTTAAACAATTTCATGATCGAATTGATTTTAAATTCTCCTCAGCCTTTGTTGGTTTGAATTGGAGAGGAAGCTATTTCACCCTTTAGTCGTTTTGTTATCCTTTCCATTTATTCTTGTTGTCATGCCTGTGGACTGAATACAGACGGACCATTTCTGGTGGCCCATGGTCAGTGATGGAGTCTTAATGGGCTGATGTTTTTGTGGCTTGATTACTACTCTTTCTTTTCCAGCCACACCCTACTCTGGGCTCAGAGAAAGTGTTGAGGTTTCCTAAGTGAGATTTACATATAGGAAGGCAGTTGTCATCTAGTCAAAGAGGTTTATGTTTAGACTTTGAGCAAAAGTGAATTACCACTTAAGACCAAGTTCCTTTAGGTAACGGAAAAGTAAGACAAACTTGAGGTAACCAGGTACCCTGAATTGTGTTTCACATGTAGCTAAATGAAATATAACAGAGGATCGGCACTATACTTAGTATCAAAAGCAGCTTATACAGTCAAGAAGAAAGACAAATTCAGGATCGATGAAACTGTTAGCCTTTATAAGAAAGAGTTCTGTATATCTAAGCAAGAATTAAATAGAAATCGTGTTCAGAATAATTTAGAAGAGGCAGGTAGGAAATTTTATTAGTAGAGTAAAAAGCAAAGTCTAGAAATGAGTCAGAATTTTGAAAGATACCTGAAACTATTAGAATTAATTCTAGCCAAAGACTTGGAATTTGACTGAAAAACATTTTGCTTAATCTTGATGTTTGTTCTCTTGCCTCTGATTTTTTTAAAAATATAATTCTTTTTACAAAAGAAAATGTTGTCTGTTTTTTTAATCTGGTGTGGCTAGGAGCTCAGTTGTCTGATTCTTTTGTTTCAGCTAGCCCACCTTCTGTTTCTGAAATAGACCACAAGTAATATTTCCTCTTCTGAGCTCTGCCGGTATGCATGTTCTCTTCCCTAAAAGAGAAAAAAATCTCTCTTGCTTCTTTTAGAAAAAGATAGAAAGGAAAAATGAGACGATTTCAGCTGTTGAGACTCAGCACCAACTCTGTTCTTTTGTACAGTGAAGAAAAGTCTTGCCCTAATTTGGTTTTGGTCTGGCTTTTTCCATAGCCTTAGTCATGGGCTGTGTTTTTACCAATTTATTTTCTGTTAGATGTGTATGTTCAGCAAATAATGTTCTTGAACTTTTGTTTTCTTTTTTCTTCTTTTAGGTAAGAATTTTATGAGCATTTGCTTGTTCCTCTAGCTGACCAATTTGTTAAACTTAGCAACGTGATCATGTTAGATACACATTTCTAGTTGATTAATGAGAAATAGAAGTTAATTGGAGATTTGCAGCAAAAAAAAAAAAAAAAATCAACTATTTTACTTTCTACCAATACAGTTTTCATTTTATGTCCTCTCTCAATGACACTGTGAGAGCCCTGACCATCCTTTCTTTTCTCTTCCTTTGTAGCATTACCAGGAGTGTGACAAGGTTGAGGTATGTTGGAGCCGATTTGCGTGCATGGGCCCATTTCCCTTGCAAGTCGTTGTTGCTCTCTGGTCCTCTTTAGGAGAAGGGACAAGTGCTCGGTTTCCCTTTCGTCTAAGTGTGTGTTGCATACAGGGTGGCGACCAGTTCGAACAGTTCTGTTTAAAACCATCAAGATATCTGTCTTCTTTCACTTTGACTTCCAGGAGTTAGGACCTGGAAATGTACAGAAAGAAGTGTCGTGTTCCTTTGACCGAGTTATCAAGGAGGTAAGAGATGCTTTCTGTCCTACGGTATTTCCCTAAGTCAGAGTGTGTACACTTGTAGATGCATGATCACCAGGCCCGTATGTTCAGTGTCTGTTCCAAATGAAATTAAACCTTCAGTTTAATTTGGGCTTTATTACATGGATAATACAAAAAAGGGAGGAAGACGGCACTGCTTGCTGTTTGGAATAGGGGCATTTCAAGGAAAGTAATTTTGCCCACTCATTTCATCTTTAAAATTGAAGTGGTTTCTACGGAAAGTCTTCTAATAGAGTTGAAAACTTCTAGCACAAAAGTGTTAAATAGTGGCCAGGCCCTTTGTGTGTTGGCTCTTAAATATCCAGAAATGCTTTCACAGCGTTATTCTGACTTCGGAATGTTCCTCCTCGCCCGTTTCCCAGCCCCATCTTCTGCCACTGGAGTTTGTTTCATGCCGGACTTGATATTTATGGCGTTCAGAACTCCTCTTTTATTTCTTAGTCTGTATGTTGTCTGATTGTCTTTGGTGAGGTCGCAGTTTTCCAGTAAATGCTGCCTTCTAACATACAGCTTCCAAAACAAACCTTAATGCAGCTCTAGGTGTCAGATGAATCAACTTTGTTTTCTGTAAATTTTCGTGAAGTGAGTTTATTTAAAAGTAGTAGACATACATGTATTAATACGCATTGTGTATTATCTTGACTTTAGTTAGCCCATCCTGTCCCACAGAATCTTTTCAGAACTATCATTGGCGGAGCGGTGAGGAATGTCTTAACTAAGTGACTGAAGATAATGTTTAAATGCAAAAATGAATGACAGACCTGCTATAGTTACACCCTCCCTCCAAGTATTGTAATTTAATTTTCTTTGCTACCTCTTTACAGAGTCCTGGACAAGAAAGATAGACTAGGATAAATAGAACAGCTCTAGATACTGCACAATTAGAGAGTTGTGGTTGAAAAACCAATCAGAGTTGTTCTCTTCTCCCTGAGATGTAGGTACAGATTAAATAGAGCCTGACATTTGTCTAGCGTAGATATCAGAGTCCCTGAAATCACTCACAATGAGAGAACAACTTAATCATCTAAATACAGGCCTCGAAGTTTTGTTCCAGCTCGGTTACTATCGGCTGGTGACCCTCCCTGTTTCTTTGCTTTTGTTTTTCTTATCTGTAAAATTGAGATGATATCAGAAATCCACTTTGCAGAGAAATTTTGAGAAATAACTATAACAGAGCAGTGAAATCCATGAGTGAGAGGTATGATCAATGACAGTGTGTTATAGTGTATCCCATTCAAGCCAGCCCTCCTGACTCCAGGGCCGGAGGGCAGTGTCGCTCACTTTCTCATTCTACCGTATCCACCCATGGTACTTCCCAGGAATTCGAGTGTCATTTGTTTAGATTTCAAGTGTGTGTTGATTGTTTCTAGACCACTCGAGAGATGATGGCTCGGTCTGCTGCTACCCTCATCACACATCCCTTCCATGGTATGTTTGCAGTTGATAACTGAAGTCTGATTTCTTACCTTTCTTCTATAACATGATCTCTCCTAACGGCTTAGATAGGCTGACATGGGACTTCACTAAAGTGCCTTGCATGCATGTTTTTTGTTTGCTTCCTTGTTCTGGCTTTTATCCTATTAATCCAGATAGCAAAGTGTCTTTAGGTGGAAAAAACTTTTTTTGTTTTTTCAGAGCTATTGAAATTTATCTGAACATAATCTTGAAAATCTTTTCTCTATTCTGCAGTGATCACTCTGAGGTCAATGGTACAATTCATTGGCAGAGAATCCAAGTACTGGTAAGTCTTTTCGTTTTCAAATATTCACGGATATCTGTTGAAGCCAAAGTATTAGGGAAATTAGTACTTTACATTTTTATGATGGCTTAGAGTTTACAGAACAGATATATCTTATATCATTTGCATAAAAACCAGTGAAATAGAAGCAAATGGCACAGGCGGGTTTAGGAGCCTACCCAGGATCTCAGAGTAAGTTGCAGACACACCGAAGCCAAAATTCACGCTGACTCCATGTGACTGCACCCTTTAGTAGCAATATCTCCATTTCTATCTCCAAATTCAGCTGTCTTTGCAGAGTGAGGGGGGTAGAAAAGAGGGAGGGGAGGGGTGTAAATTTGACCTTGTCAAAAGTGATAATTGAACTTTTTTTTAATATACCTCCAAAATAATGTATTTTACCTTTCCTGCTTCTGCACCTAGTGGACTTTGTGACTCCATAGTAACCATCTATCGGGAAGAGGGCATCCTAGGATTTTTTGCGTGAGTAAATTTTTGATTTATGTGATTTTTGTGCGTATAGAAAGCTTTAATGAAAATAAGGCCGTGATTCTTTGTGTAATCCCTGGAGAAAATGTGCTCTCTGGGTTTATTTCATGTTGAGCTCTTTTTGGGTCCCTTTGGCTAAAATCTCTTGTAAAGATCCAAAACTTTTGCTTCTGAACATGTAAAACATTTGAAATGCGGGTTTTGTTTGTTTCTTTAACAAATAAATTCATTCCAAGTTTCTATCCTTATAGTAAGTTCCCGGTTATGTGCAGTTGATAAAATGAGGAAAATTAATTTTTGAAAAGTAGAAAAATCATCCTATATATATCTTCCTTATCCTGAGAGAATGTTTTTGCAAGGTTGTATGCATTCCCTTAAATTTACTTCGGAAGAACTTAGACTACTACCCTCATTCTTCCATTAACAGCAAAAACTGCATTAACAACTAAATAGTCCTTTTAAATTTTCAATGTTTCTGCATAATTGATCTTATTTGAGTCTCATCAATACTCCGGGAGATAGGCAGGACAGCTAGTATTCTCATTTTAGAGATTTTTTTTTAAAAAACTGATGCTCCAGGAAGTTCGTTTGCTGCCAGTCACAGAGCTGGTAAGTGACGGAAGTGGCATTTGAAGGCTGGTCTTCAGTCGGTGGGGTCATGTTGGTCCCCTGCTCCGGGCTGCCTCACCTAGGTCACCCAGGCCCTGGAAATGTGTTTTTGATGTCTCTCACCTATATCTATGTTTGGGCAATTCTCGTTTTGTGTTTTTTCTCATCTTTTGCCCTGCCAAATTTGAATATCAAGTCGTTTAGCTAAAACCATATTTAGGTTTCTTCTCCGAAGTAGGCAAATTTTTGGCCTCCCTGCTTATAGTTATTAATATTTGTAAAGTGAGCCATTGGCCATAGCTTAGAGGGGTGTAGCTGACCTGCATTTCAAAAATGGGAATGAAAGTCAGTAGAGATTAGCCTCAAGTACAATTAACTAGAATGAACTGGTTATGAGGGCTAGAATCAGTATTTGATATCTTTTCAGTTCTCTAGAATGTTTTGAAATCTCTAATTCTTTGAGAAGTGTTTGTACTGAGTGCATTATCTTTCTGTTGATCACGTTTCCTGGTTTTTCTTATTTTTGTTGTTTCTCCACGTAGGGGTCTTATTCCTCGCCTCCTAGGTGACATCATTTCTTTGTGGCTGTGTAACTCACTGGCCTACCTCGTCAATACCTACGCACTGGACAGCGGGGTAGGTTGGGACCGTGATGGGATGTGACGGTGCCGACTTTATTCACTTCACCCGACAGCTGGGTTAGCTTTCAAGCAAGGTGGCAGTTTCTCGGGTGCCAGACTCATCGTTATATAGCTAAACATTACCAGGCACGTTTTCAGAGGCTAATGGGGTGCCCTATACTGTGTACCATAGAGAGATGCACCTCAAAAGTCCCGAGGGTGTGGCAGAGCAAGCCCAAGCGATCCAGCCCTGTCTCTGTGCTGCAAGGAGTTCATGTCTCTCTTGACACCCAATTTCAGAGGACACCGTGGAGCAGCACAGTTTCGTAGTGTATTCAGGGTGTTTCGTCCCATCTGAAGTGTTCAAGGGACTCTATATTAGGCTTTCTAGAAACCTTAGCCTGGGAGGTCTTGAGAATGAGCCATCCCTAGAGGTGGTGTTTTCCCCACCTCAGCAGTTGTGGCCCGTTTGCACATGGGCAGCTCTGTAGCCCGGTGGAAACAGAACACCCCCGGGGTTGGCACCTGTTGAGTCTAGAGACCCATCTTCTCCAAAGCATCTGGTGCGTCTAGGTGTGTGCAGAGGTAGTGACTGGTCCCTCAGCTGTATGGTATACGTCGTTTCCAGGCATTGTATTTCTAGGACATGGTAAAAGCTTAGCATTCTCGTTTTCTTTTGTTTTTGAAGTCTTGGGGCTGTTACCTTTGTTCCTAAGCCATCTTGGTCTAATATGAATTTGTCTGTTACTGTTGAATCAAGTTGATCATTTTGACCACCTTTTTATGTTCATAATCAGTATTTTATGTTTTCATCCTTGAAATTAATTTTCAAGCTGTCAAAGAAAGTAATAATTTAGAGAATATATTGATATGGTTGGGGACGATGAACTGAAAATATCAGCCTAATTTTCTTCCTCATTCTAATAAAGGCTTTCTCCTTGTTTTAGGTCTCCACCATGAATGAAATGAAGAGTTATTCCCAAGCTGTCACAGGAGTGAGTTTTTTAAATCCTCTTACCCTTCTAGGAAGAGTTGTGTTTTGCTTTGTTTTAAATTTGGCCTGTGCCATCACTATGTTAAAGCACCCAGATTGGTTCCTTTACCCTTGCAGGAAGGTCTCTCAAATTTGTTACTGTTCGTCAGAGGTCAGGATAACCCAGGGGCTATCCTGTAACAGTCGTAACAAGCCCACATGGTTTGGTGCTGTTCAGCTTTCCGACGGGGTGTGGGTATTTCTCCTCCCCGCTCTGCCTCTGATTCTCAGGCCTGCGTCTCAGTGCATCTTGCTGACCCTACGCTGGAGAACTTCACCTCTTTAATCATTGTGGAGTCTTCCAGTAGCTGACTTCTAAAGTAGTTGCCATTGCCTTTGGAAGGAGGCGCATGTTTTCTTCTTTTCTTCAGGAGTGTTCTGAAATGCCTCATTGCATGCAATTGTTTACTTTTAAATAAGATAGTTCAGTTTTATTTAATGACTCAGTCACAGAATAAGAGAAGTCTTCTGGCCTTTTGTTAAAATGTCAGATGAAGTGGTATGTTAAGGGGAGGCAGCATCTCCAGGCTCAAAAATATGAAATTTAGGGGCTGACCCTGTGGCACAGTGGTTAAGTGCACACGTTCTGCCTCAGCGGCCCGGAGTTCGCTGGTTCAGATCCTGGGTGCGGACATGGCACTGCTTGGCAAGCCATGCTGTGGTAGGTGTCCCACATATAAAGCAGAGGAAGATGGGCATGGATGTTAGCTCAGGGCCAATCTCCCTCAGCAAAAAGAGGAAGATTGGTAGCAGTTGTTAGCTCAGGGCTGATCTTCCTCAAAAACAAAAAATATATGAAATTTAATCTTTCCTGGGATATTAAGAAAACAAAACCACTGTTAGAATATTTGACCACAGTGTCACTAGGCCTTTAAGAGAGAGAAAAGAAGAGAAAAAAGAAGACTAGAAATTACATAATAACTTAGCTATGTTTTTACCATTTTACAGTTTTTTGCCAGTATGTTGACCTATCCCTTTGTGCTTGTCTCTAATCTTATGGCTGTCAACAACTGTGGGTAAGTGCCTTACATTTCTTATCCTAGTAGTTGGCTGCCTGTATGCCTGACAGGCAGAGCAGTCGTGATAGAAATTTGGGGAAGAAAAGTACAGTTGATATTATTGCTAGATTTCCTGATTTTTTTCTCTATATGCCCCAATGTACCAACAGCATCAATTTATATACCTAATATCCTTTTAGAAATAGAGAAGGGCATAAATAGCATTTCTCAAGTACTTGTAGATAACCTGCACTTACCAGTAGTATAGATCCTCTGCTCAAAAGAGTGGGGTATTTATGAAATTATTCTGTTTGAAATCTTTATCCTTTTTTTATAGAAGTAACAAGAGGTTTGTCAGGTATTGAATGACAACCTGTGCCTGTTTTTGCTGGGGGCTTCTTGGATAAAATGAGTTTTCAAGAAGGAGCAGGAGGAAATTTGGTCCAAACCTTTCACTGTATTGGTTGGGAAGTGTGGGTGGTGTGGCAGACACCATCGATTTCCAACTTGTACATGCCGAGTGGCTCTGCCAAGTTGGACAGAAGTTTTGCCTCTTGATTTAATTCAAAACTCTGTTCGAATCCAGTACCTGACACAGGATGCCCTTAGGCACGTGACTGTTTTCCAGCAGGATACTGAATAGATAGCTGTGTGGAATTTGGCACACAGTTAGCATATTCCGTATCGTGTTACATGCTGTTTCTGTTGTGATCTGTAGAGCAGCTGCCACAGGTTAGTCCAGGGCATGCTTGAAGGATGCGGTGCATGTGTTATTATTCCTGACAGTTTTTAGAGAGGAAGTGATTGTGGGTTATACCTGCCTAAGAGCGTGTAGTCGCTACTGTTGATATCCATTATATTTAGGTTCTTTTGAACACCACTTAGTTTTTAAACCCCCTTTCGCTGCTCTTTAATCATGTAATTGCTGTGTGTTCTAAAATTTTATTTGTCCACAAATTAAAAACCTAGATGTTTTAGAAAATATGTAACTGATTGAAGTTTCTGTTTATTGGTTCAAAACCTAAATATAAGGGAGGGAAGTCCTTTTTGGATGCTTGCTTTTTCCCCTGCTCCATTATAATTTGTTTCATTAGAACTAAAATTGCCTCTAGGGAACCTTCTGGATAAGAGAATATTTTGACAAAGATTTACTGAACTCTTGCAACAATGTTTTGTAAGTAGTAACTTGAATAGGGAATCTTGTTTCCTATTTCAGGCTTGCCGGCGGATCCCCTCCTTACTCCCCAATATACACTTCTTGGCTAGATTGCTGGTGCCTGCTACAGAAAGAGGTACTTTTCTCTCATTCTGTCTCCCTTCCTCCCTCCCTCCCTGTCTCTTGCTCCCTCTTTCTTTCTCTTCCCTCTTCCTCTCTGTCTCTGTCTCTCTCTCTCTCCCCCTGCCCCCATATTTTATTTTGTTTTGTTTTTGTTTGTTTTCTTAATGTCTCTGGAATCCCCCGTCAGCTCTTGTAGCTTACCCTTTAGCTCCCAGTCAGTGTACCCTTTACAGTGTTCCAGATGTCACTCTGGCATAGGCGTAAATTGTGCTGTCAGACATCATCACGAGGGGTAACAAAGAAGGGGGATTCCCAAGATGTGATCTAGAAGCCATGTGAGTGATCACATTCAGATTACAAATAGGGTCCAGATAGACAGTTATCCTGGTTGTTAAGATGATGGCCTTGATAACTCCTCAGAACCTCCTTATGTGTTCAGGTGTTTTCCTACACTATAGTATAGAGGAAACTGAGAAAGAAGTTGTTTGTTGATGACGTTATTTGTCACAATGATGTTGATAGAGCTGGTGTCCTACTGCTAGAGTCTTGTTTAGTGGATGATTTTGTCCAGCCTCCAATTTATTGTTTGTTATTGCTTTGAGGTATGTCATCTGCAACCAAAAATTCTTGATTAATCTAGGCGAAGTTTTATTAGGAACCAAAATAATGGATGGGCTGTGTGCTAAATTTGATGCAGGATCACTTAAAATGGCCATCAGTTTAAAGCTGTTTTGAGTAGGCAGCCCTTTTTAAAGGGTGTAGAAGAATTGTATGGAGCAGCTCTTTGTTGCATTATGTTACTGCACTAGCGATCCATACGGGAAAGGCCTTTGTGCCCAGTGCTCAGGCTTCTGCGGCCTGAACTCCAAATGAAAAGGCCTGAGTGCTGCTGTGGTTGCTTTTGCCCAACAAACCCCTCTGCAAATCCAGGCGAGGACACTGAAATGATTTGGGTACAGACCTAACATTTTGGGTTTCATTCTGAGTCTTGCACTCTCTATTGGACATCTCCCATTGCGGTCCGCATTTAAAAGGAAAGATGGCCCTCCCCCTATTTTCTGACTAAGCCCCTGCTATAGGAAGAAAGCGGATAGGAAATGTATTAGGGTATCAGACACCGTACCGAGCAAACGAGTGGTCCTCTAAGAGCTTAGCCAACAGCAGATGTTGGTTGGGCTTTTACTGTATATCAGGCGGCATGCTGAGAGCTGTCCGTGTGTCGGCTCATGTAACCCCCCAAATAACCGGGTGAGGATGGGTGCCGTTCTGCATCATCCACTTCACCTCTGAAGACGCTGGGACTTGGAACAAACAACGCTGATTACGTAACCCAAGGTCACACAGCCTGTGTCTGGGAGAGCGGGGCTTGTGTGCACGCTGTCTGACTTCAGAGTCTCCTCAGTTAAGCTCCCAACATGATTACTTTAATTGTAAGATTTTGTAAGTATTCCCTAGAGACCTGACCATTCCATTAAAAAATAAATAAAAATTAGCACTTAGTGAATGTTAGGACTGTTCTCAGCGCTTTGTATATATTGAATCATTTGATAACCCAGCTAGCAAGTGGCAGAGCCAGAATCCAAACTGGGCATTCTGTCTAAATAAGAAATTCTTGAGCCGGCCCAGTGGCGCAGCAGTGAAGTGTGCATGTTCCGCTTCGGCGGCTTGGGGTTCGCCGGTTCGGATCCCGGGTGCGGACATGGCACCTCTTGGCAAGCCATGCTGTGGTAGGTGTCCCACATACCAAGTAGAGGAAGGTGAGCACGGATGTGAGCTCAGGGCCAGTCTTCCTCAGCAAAAAGAGGAGGATTGGCAGCAGATGTTAGCTCAGGGCTAATCTTCCTCAAAAAAAAAAAAAAGAAAGAAAGAAATTCTTGCCTTATCCATGAGGCAGAATTATAGTCTGTTAGTTCCTCAAGAGCTTAGCCTGAGTCGAGAGTACAAATTGCTACTCTGTAGTGATGGTCCCACTTTCGTCTTGGTCCTTTTAGTCTTGTCTCCTGGAAACATGTCCACTTGGTTCTCTGCTGATTTGGACCGGCTGACCTCGTCTTCACACTAGACTTTACTTGTGTTTATTTTATTTTTTTTCCAGGGAAATATGAGCCGAGGAAATAGCTTGTTTTTCCGGAAGGTCCCCTTTGGGAAGACTTATTGTTGTGACCTGAGAATGTTAATTTGAAGATGTGGGGCAGGGACAGTGACATTTCTATAGTCCCAGATGCACAGAATTATGGGAGAGAATGTTGATTTCTATACAGTGTGGTGCGCTTTTTTAATAATCACTTAATCTTGGGAAAATGGAGGTGTTTGGTGTCTGCCTTTTTTGTTCTTTTTTTCCCAGCACAACATAATTTACCGGTGATATTCTCCCTTTAATTATTCTGAAGTGGGACGTTTTTGCTCCAGACTCTTTATTTTACTTAAACAGAAAAAAAAAGTTGCGTTTTCCTAAAGGTACAGGCAGGTTGTCATGTGATTTGAGTCTCACCTTAAGGCTTTGTAAAATGAAAGGTACAATCCCAAGAAGAAAGAGAAATAATTCAGCAAAACTTTAGAAAATTCATAAGACAAACCATATAGGAGGTTATGAATTACCTTTTCTTTAGGAAATGCTAAAAGCAGCAGCATCCAGCAGAATCTGCCTCCCATTGTGTGCTTCTAAGCACATTTGATTCACCCTGTTTCTCATACTTCAAGAAAGAACAAAACACTGCAAAATTACCCTAGAAAATCTCTACATGAGGCATCCACACCTTCAGTCTATTATTTCGAAATAATAAATGGTCACCAGCAACAACAAAAGAGGAGAATTAAGCAAGATTTGGAAAGGAAGCGTAATAAACAGCTTTTTTTCCTTAAGACAGTCTTGTCATAATATGAAAAGCAAATACTGCAGCAGTAGCCCCCTTATCTGAGCTAAGTCTTTCCAGGCCCTAAATGACAGCATTATGCAATTCCAACTGTCTATAATCTCTGTTCTTCAGTTTTTTTCTGTTTTTTCCTTTTTATTGTTGTTGCAGAAGGTGAGTAGTTTGTTTTTCATTCCTAATCACACCCTTGGAAAGTGTATTTATAATTTCCTATCCGGTGATGCACTTAAAGTCCACAGGGTTCTTAGGGCATTGGCCACCTCGCATGTCATACCCTCAGGCATGTAAACACCATTTGTAGGAGGGAAAAAAGTCACTTTAGGAGGAAATAACATTCAGCTCAAGCATAATGCTCCTATTTACTCAGGCCTTCTAAAAGCAGGTTAAAATGCTTGAAATGAGAAAGCATATGGTTTCACCTATTTAAATAATCCACTGGGATGTTGCCAAATGAGTAAGCACTTAATTTGCTTCTTCTCAGACTTCTCCATCAAAGCAGCAGCACCCACAATATGAGAGTGAGCATGCAGGGGTCCCCTTCCTCCCCCAGGGTTTACGAATACAGCCTGGAGCTCAGGAGGAGCTCACCTTGAAATGTCTTTGATGTCTCTTTGTCTCAAAAAGTAATGTAAATTTTATATTCTATTCAATATTATGTGCATTTGTTTTAAGATAAAAATGTTTTACATTACTCACTTTTTTCCCCAAAAAAATCTTCAAGTAAAGATGATCTAGGAAAATGTGCCATGTTTATTATCCTGTGGCTTCTGTGCTCAAACCCGCCTGCTTGTTCCTAGTTGAGAAGCTTCTCTCACTGTGAGAACCGCTCTACCAGCAGAGGGCACCAAACCTCCGGTTTTGCCTGTGCAAGTTGGGCTGCTGAAAAGTCTCGCCCAGGGCCTCGGATTGTTCCAAGTACTAGTCCAGTCGGCCAGTCTAACTCCATCCAAGCTGTAGGTCCAGTAATGTCCTATACCTGTGGTCCTCCATAAAATTTTCTAAGCTGTTAACATAATCAAAAGTCTGAAGTTTATCCAGGGGCTAGTCATTGTGAAAGGTACTCTTAAGATACACATGCAGGAAATAGTGAACTGACTCATTATGTGTATAAATAATATATACTTAGTAAGGATTACCCAGTAAGCTGCACCTGTGAAAGTGGGCAGGCAGTTTGCCCTGGCAGTGCTGCGCTACGCCGCCGGGAAATACTCCCCCAAGGGAGTGGGATGGTCACTGAAGCCTTGATTGAAGAAAAGAACTTGGGGTTTCCAGAAACTTTGGGGATGGTTGTAAAAATGCTAGGGTATAAAAGCAACCTTAGGATGAAAGAAACTTTAAGCATAAGCCCTATATCGCAGCTTCTTACTGTTACCCGGACACCCCTCGGCTTTGCTGTAGTTTGTAATCTAGAATGTCCTTTCCGTCTCCCCACTGAACTTTTTCTATATAGTAAGATTCAGCTCTGACGCCAGCTCTTTGTGAAGTCTCTCATAGTCATTCTACCCTGGTGAGGTCTTTGCCTTGAAACTCCCCCTCCCCGAGGCTCATAACTACAGGACAACTACATCCAACACCAACTTCAGGGTCCACACAGCAGTGGCATTCCTTCTCTCTGATTTGAAAATCTGTGGAAAAAATGATATTTAGCCCTTCAAAACAGACCCACTAAAGCATCAGCCTCACTGGGTTTTAGAGAAAAACTAGCTGGTCAAGTAGCAGTACATGAAGTCGGTCAGTTGAAGGTGCCGTGGCAGGTGAGGGAGGAGGAAGAGGGGACAGGCTGGGAGGACGAGCGTCCAGCCCGCCGTGTTAAGTTTTAATTCTCCTAATCTTTGGTAGAGTTGGTACCCCCACTTTACAAATAAAGAAAATGAGACTTAGATTATGCAACTCATTCAAAACTATATTTTAAAGTTTGAGACCTGGATTCAAACCTGAGTCTTTCGAATGCCAAGGCATGTTTACTGCCTCCTGGATGCAGTGAAAGGCTAAGAAACAAGTAGCCAGTGAACCAAATGAGAATTCATCCATCTGAGGAAAAAGGCCCTGCATTTTAATCAAAGCAGTGAACCGAAGAACAGGCCTCCCACAGAGGAGAGTCAAATGGTCTTAAATCAGGAAAGACATAGTCCTTGCCTCTGCAGAATGATAAATTGGTGAAACCACTGAAAATAGAAGTGATTGCCGTCACTTTTCTAGACTATTACGATGGGCTATGCAGATGGAAAGCTAAGTTATTGTACAGTAAGGATTTATTCCTGCGAGTACGGTCAGTTGGATTTGGACTCCTGCTACATTTGGAGGACAACGTTTCTTGAAAGCAATTTACGTGTCAGCTCCTCTGATGGATTCTTCTAGAACATCCTTGCAGATTGGATAGGTTCATTTGGGCTGCCTCCCCAGTGCTATAGTAATTTCTATCTTTGGGTTTTTTCTTTTCTTAAATCGAGGCAAGGATATGTGTTTTATCTCCTTGGCAGAGACTTTTAGGCTTCCTAAGGATGTCATCTTTTATTTTTTTCCCCCTCTGTTGATCCGTCATCTTATTGTCTCTTCAGAATTCAGAAAGTCAGAACCTTGCACTCATTTTTTTCTTAGGAGGGAGAGTTGCAAATGAAAGGTTCTTTTGCCACCAATCACAGGATAACTTATTTTCAGGAGAATATCTTTGATGGTTACAGGGATTAATTTTCTAAAGCATCTGAGAGTGTTTTCCTTCCAACCAGCTTTGTCCATATGAATCAGCTTCCTCCGTCTATTTGCTGCCTGAAGAGGTGTCTTGGGGAGGCCCCCTAGCAGTGCATGAGTTAGTCTCCCACACACACTGTACTAGTTTGCCATAATTCTCTGGTCACAAGACGAAATCTCAAAAAACCCATTTTGCATTGGTCGTAGAAATGGATTCCTCTGTAATCCAGGCCCCAAATCTCCTGTCTGGGATCAATTAGGCAGATTTTGTTTTAAAACCACAGTTGTTCTGGAAGCAACTTACTGCAACCCTGAAAAAGAATGTTTTCAAGTAGATTCAGATCAGTACCACACACCAAATATGGTGGGAGAACAGTGCTTTAGAGAGTGACGGGAAAGGGAGAGAAGCAGGAAGATGCTACTCAGGACTCGCCAGCTTCCTGAGAGGGAGCGCAAGGAATGAAGCCCCCTCCCCAAGTCTCCAAGACGCAGTGAGTGAGAGTTTTCTAGCACCAACCTCTGCCTCACCAAGGCAGCCAGAAGAATGGACTTCTCTGGTAATGCCACATTTCCATGGAAAATCTATTAGGTATTGCAGTCTATTTCCACACCGAGTAGCGTGAGGAGCCAGAGGTTAGATCAGGACAAGAGACAGAATTGTGCCTACTTGCTTTCTGTCCCGCCTGGGTCCCTGCCCTCCTGGCATCGAAAAGACTGGTGAGAATGTCCTGGCTGGAAACGAAAAAAGAGGGTGAAAACGGAGACGGTGGAGCTGCATCTTGCTCAGGCTGCTCTCTTCCCACTGGAATTCAGTATCATGCCTTTCCTCCCTGAGGGGCCCACGTTTAGAGCTTCAAAATGCAGCCCTCGGTTATTGGGTAGCCTGTGCTGTCCTGGGCTGGGGCAGTGGAGGATGCAGAGGTGTCTGGTCAATCTCTCCATGTCCTTGTGACATTCACTGTGCTTTGGAGGAGAGGAACCGTATGAGAAGAATGTGAAGACGAGGAATGTTGGGAGGATCAGACGGAGCCACGTGTAAAACCGCAAAGCCTGCTTCTCGCAAAGGGTGCTCTCTCAATCTCAGAAACCCTCGCTGGGATGGCCGTTGTACCTGGCAGTAGATGCCCAGAGGAGTTGAAACCAGGCACCATGGGATCCACAGAAGAGAAAAGTCGCATCCAGTTGGGGGAACTCTGGGAAGCATTCATGAAAGAGTAGCATTTTAGTTGGGTTTTGGTTTTTGGGGTTTTGCTGAGGAAGGTTCGCCCTGAGCTAACATCGGTGCCAGTCTTCCTCTGTTTTGCATGTGGGTTGCCACCACAGCGTAGCCACCCATGAGTGGTGTAGGTCTGCACCTGGAACCGAACTCAGGCCGCCAAAGCAGAGCACACCGAACTTAACCACTCGGCCTTGGGGCCGGCCCCGCAAGTTGGTTTTTTAAGGATAGTGAGATGCTGGGTGGTAGGATGGCAGAATGGGAGCGATTTCCAGCTCTGTCACTTAGCAGCTACACAACCGTGGGCAAGTTACTTGATCGTTCTAAGCTCCAGGCTCTTCCTCTGTAAAATGAGAATACTCCTTCTCTCATCAGAGTATTAAATTTAGTACAGTATCTGACACAGTAAATGTTTGGTATGTGGTAGCTATTGTTATTTAAGAATTAGAAGGGAGTGGGGCCGGCCCCGTGGCACAGCGATTAAGTTTGCATGTTCTGCTTTGGCGGCCCGGGGTTTGCCGGTTCGGATCCCGGATGCAGACATGGCACCACTCGGTAAGCCATGGTGTGGTAGGCGTCACACATAGAAAGTAGAGGAAGATGGGCATGGATGTTAACTCAGGGCCAATCTTCCTCAGCAAAAAGAGGAGGATTGGCCGCAGATGTTAGCTCAGGGCTAATCTTTCTCAAAAAAAAAAAAAATAATAATTAGAAGGGAGGGAATTCTTTGCAAGTATAGACATAATGGGCAAGTCATGGAGTTAGTAAAGATTGAAGAGTTGAGGGCAAATGGAGTTGCATCTCTGACAGTCCTAACCTTTCTTCAAAGCTGTATTTCTGCCTTATATAATGAGCACCCAGAACAGTAACTAACACGCACTACTCAAATGTTTTGTGTGATGAGTGGATATCCTTCAGGATCCTCAAATTGAATTACAGCTCAGCCCCTCTCCCCAAGCCACAGTGGTACCTGCATTCTCAACTTTATTAAACACTTTATTATCACCCTGTTTCCCAAACTAAAAACCCAGGAAATGACTATGAGTCCTCTCTACCCCCTCCCTCTACTTCCGAGAAGTCACTGCTAGATTCTCAGAAATGCCTCTTGAATTCGTCATCTCCTCTCTGTCCCCCTGTGTTGGTGCATCATCTCTGCTCAGCTGTCACAGCAGCCTTCTATCTTGTCTCCTGCCACCATCTCAGGACAGTAGGCAGTCGATACAGCTGGAGCTGTACGATATGACCAGGTTATGGAGGACGCCTACAACTTTTCTATGCCTACACAGGCTTCCAGCAAGGGATAAAATACTTCTTTCTGACCCAAGTTTCTTAAGATTTCTTGCCCTAGCATCCTTAAATCCTTACACCCTGAGCCCAAGCCATACAGTCCCAATTCTCCTCCTACAGCCTTCTCTGCTCTGCACATTTGTACCTCGCTAGCAGCTGCTCTCTGTGTCTGTTATCTTCCGCTGAAGCCTTGTGCGGGAGGAGCCAAGCTGAAATACAAGGATATTTATAAATAGAAAGTGGGTGTAAAGTTCTGCACTCGCAAATGTTTTAACCAAGGCTAATTCCATCTCTCCTCCATTTGAGCTTTGACATTCCTGCCCACCTCCTCATCCATCTCTTCCCAAAGCCTGTGAGTACTGCCCTCTCCTTGGTCAAGGCCACAGTAAAACTGGAAACCATGGTGGCTAAGAGATGTGACCTGGAAAGAAGTTTGGGAAATAGAAATGGATTCAACATCTATAGACAAAGGTACAGAGTAAAAGCTATTGAGATAACATAAATGTGCTTGCCACTTCTTAATAGGATATTTATTAGTGGCCTACCACATGTCCTGCCCATATTATCCATTAGCTCCAACCTATGAAACAGCCACATAAGCAAAATATTACCCCCATTTTACTGATAGAAAAGTGAAACTCAGAAGGGTTAACTGATTTTCCTAAGACTGGTAAATGACAGAGCCAGGATTCAGACCTGGGTCTGCAAGTCTGGGGCATTTCTGATAATAGGCATGCACATCTATTGAGTTCTATTTTTCTGCATAAAAATAGGGGAACACATTTAAACAAGGAGTTAAACTAAAACTTGATGAGAGGGAACGC